AAATACTGATTTGGATGAGTTTTAAGTATATTATTCCTCTGAATATTGTATCAGAGATGAGAACTTTCTATACAGTTCTCTGTCTGTATTATGTATTTTTTATCATGTTATACATACTTAATAGGCTTCTTTTAAAAAAAAAAAACTTCAGTGTTTTCTTCTCATTTTTCTATCAGCTCTTTGGTTGTTTTGTCTTTTCTAATGCAAGATGAGGCTGTTTATTATAGAGTGAAGGCTTCAAAGTTTAAATCTTTAATAATAAGAATCTAAAAATAATAATTTCATTTAGATTTATTTACAGAAATGAATGAAATGCTGATATATAGCCCTGCTGTAAATATTTTTATACCTTTTTTTAAACCCTTTAAAATCAAAAGGGCTTCACCCCTCATGATGCTTTCCCAGGTTGCTACTGAACTAATTAACATACTGGATTAATAATAAATATTTGTTCAAAAAAATTTGAGAAAACAGTGAAAAATATTTTTTATTATTTTGTTCCACCAACATCCCAAACACAAAGATGTTGAGTTTACAGCGATATAAAACAGAGAAAAGCAGAAAACATTTTTGCCTAAAAAAGATAGAAGAAGTAATTGCTGATACATTTTCCACTTTTTATTATGGCACCTTTTATAATATTTTTATAAATAGTTAATAAGAACAACTTTTGGGTTGCCAGGACCCTTTAATGTCTCTATTACTTATCCTCCCAAATAGGGCTGCAGAGAATACGTTACTACACTAGCACCAGCATATTGTAGAAATGATTGGTACAGTGGCTGAAATAACTTTCCTGTTCAAGAGAAAACCAGCAGAACTGTGATTCCAACCTGGAGTTGGGAAGTAGTGTTGTGAAATATATAGGGTAAGTTGACAGTCCATCATCTGCTATAAGAATAGCTTACTAGAACGAGCAGTTATTGGATAAACATCCCCTTTCTGCAGGAGGAATCCGCTGCTGTCCTGACTGAGGATGTCAAGTACAGTAAGCAAATCAAAGAGAGGAGTGGCCACACACTAGGATAACAGACTGGCTACAATGAAATGTGTGTGTTCTGTACCCAAGCTGCTGTAAAGAGTGGTGTACTCTATGTTTTAGTGTACAAAATGTGACAAAATAGTGACATGGTGACATCCATGGTGACATCAAGGAATTTCATTCAATGGACTTATGTCTGGGGTCAAGTCAAAACTGTCACAATATTAATTCATGTCTATTGAAAAAGGCCTCTGAGTTAAGACTGGACTTTCCTCATTCTTGCATAATTTGTGTGAGTTTAAATATAACATTTCCTCTGTTGTAAAGACTTAATGTTCAAACATTTATGCAACTATGCCTTTTGCCATACAGTACAGGGGTCTGCTGACTTATTTTGTGTCCCTTAAATGATTACTTCAACCACGGAAGTAATTTGTTCCATAGAGAATGACTGACAATGTGAGTATTTCTTATCGCCTGTGCAATGCAATTCTCCTGCAGCACTGGGAGAAAAATTAGCCCTAAGGTTTGGGAGTCAGGTGGCCTAACGCAGACAAACTGTGTCAAATAAGAGTCGCTGTGAGTTCAAAGAAGAGACAACCTCAGGGCAGTATGGTCCTGTTACCAAGATTGTGCATCCTATATTAGAGCACAAATTCCTGAACTAATGCAAGTAAAAATAACTTCCAAATGGAGTAGGCTATGGTGTTAAAGTGACAATCATGCAAAAACGAACCTACTCTATTAATGCATTTCTTGTGAGGTCATTTTTTATTTTTGAATTTGTGATTTAGTACAGAAATTGATCCCTCTATCTCTAGCTCCTTCATCAAATCAACATAGAGTAGAGCAGATAAGCCTACATAGATTGATAAAATAGTGTAAACAGGACCTAAAATGAAGGTCAAGAAACGTGTTCAGGCCAGGGAAAGCATCCGTTATCCCATAATGTCATGTTAGTAGAGGCACGTGTTAAGAATAGTATTAGTAAGAATAGGAAGTAATAGTAAATAACGTAACATTTGCTGGTAAATGCTACTCAAATTCAAAGGTGTATCCAAGATACTGTATATTTCAGTGTGTAAATATAGCTATGTAGTGTCACCATGTTATGCCTACATTTGAAGATACATCATTGCCCTTTATTGAATATTATACAATGACACTATGCAAAAAACTCACTAAGTAAAGATTCCTTTGCAAAACATTGCATATTTATCAAATAGTTATTGATTACAGGCGTTAGTATCAGCCAGTACAGTCATTAACAAAGTGTTTGAAACTCTTCCACATTGTAAATCAGGTTTGAAATTGTTGCTGTTTTTCCACATGATGTGCTGACATATACAGTACTTTGTGTACAGCTATAGATCCAGTGGTTTTCATCAGTGTTTCTTTGGACAACCTCCATGAGTGATGCTTAGAAAGAGCAGCAGTACTTTTACGTAAAAGGCCACGTAACACTGCTGAGTGATGGGCCCATGTAGACTAAACGTGGTGATGATGACTGCTTCATCTCTAATCTGCATCTCAAAATCTTTTAAGCGATGTTACGTCATCCCTCCTCAGATTATGACGGACACCATCCAACTCCTCCTGAGTCATCATGGCTGTGCACTATGGTGTGCAGGTTCCTATGCATGTTCACTTAATGGGGTACTTAATCGTATACGTAAAAGTATACTGTAAGGAAACCCATCAACACACTTGAGATACTGACAAGGAACCAATCTTTGAAAAGTCCTTCTATACTGTAATAGGAGTTTAGAATGCAATCATTTCCATATCATTTGCTAACATCTGATTTTAAATATTACAGCAGTTTCAAATTGAAATTTGAGGAATACTTATAGAGACAATCAAAACTGGATCTGAAATCAACAAGCACACACTGTATTTGTCATATTTGTCAATTCTTAAAACAATTGTGATGCGTGTTAGCTTCAAGTGCTTGAATTTCGAGTACAGTTTGTACCCCAAGCAAAGTCATTTAGATATGACATTCAGCAGCACTCACAGCCATAGTGATAGAATTAATTGACAGACCATGATCACAGCTTCACATCATGTCCTAATGTGCCATATGAAGTCAGTTAGATGTTTTATGTAAACAACTAAAATTAGGAAAATTATGTTATAAAACATATTGAGACGGCCATATAGAGTACACACATAGAGTGTACATTGTTTAGAAGCAGTTGTTTGTTTCCAGGGGGATCACTTTGAGATAGATTTTAATGACTGGAAAAACTGACAGGATTAGGAGACTATGTGACATGTAAATTGAAGCGTTACTGTAACTACATACCTATTGTAACAAGCTGTAAGTTGTTCCATTGCGTTTGTTGTGTAAATCTGTTAACAGAT